TTTCCCCCCGAGGTCGTTGTTCGGGTGTGACCGTGGAACCCGGCCTTCGTCCCCCGAGACCTAGCGCGGGTGGGCTGGGGAGGGGGCTCTCTGCGAGGAAGGGCTGTGTAGGTATCCGATCCCCGTCGCGGCGCTGGTGACCGAGGCGGAGGATGCAGAGGCGGAGGCGGCGGCGGCGGAAGAGGAGGAGGGGGAGAGTGAGGGGGAGGCGGAGGCGGGGGCACCTGTGACGGCCCGCTACGAGAAGGGCGAGTACCGGTTCGCGCGGGAGAAGATTTGCGACCTGCGTTTGCTCGACTTCGAGACGTTCGGCGGCTTCGGGGACGGCGTCCGCAAAATTCTTCGGCAGGCGGCGGACCAGCTGAGTAACAAACTTTCGCACGCTCAGCACCTCGATGAGGTCACATGGACCACCAAGAACTGGCACGGGCTGCAGATGCAGCGCTTGTCTGTCGTTCTCCACACCGCCGTGGCGTGGCAGACGGTGAACGAGCTAGCGTGCGGGGACAGCGGCATTGTGCACGTGGAGCTAAGTGCATTGCCGTTCTTAACGGAGTCGCTTAGGCGGCTCTGGTGGTGTGCCGGTGATAGTACTAGCACGCGCCAGTTCGCACCTGTCTCGAGCCTGTGTGCTGTGAGAGAGAGTTGTTTTGTTTAAATTCTTTTTTCAACAATGCCAGTTCGCACCTGTGTCGAGCCTGTGTGCTGTGAGAGAGAGTTGTTTTGTTTAAATTCTTTTTTCAACAATGAGACGAATGACGATCGATCCTCCTCATCGCGAATTGCGTCGGCCTCCCTACCTGTCGACCTGGTACCTGTGTGTGTGACTTTAAACCAAGTGTCAGCATGCTGGTGTTGCCTAAAGGGTAAAATTCCGTCACCGCGTCGAGAAGAGGCACCCGCCGATGGCGAAAAGGAGAGTAAGAGGGCAAGGGGAGGTGGCGTCGTCGAAAGGGCGGTAGATCCAGTCGATGCCATCTGAGGTCGGCTCACGCCGTGGCCAGGCGGCGCTCCATCTCGGTGATGAGGCCGAGAGGTACCTCGCCCGCCTCACCAAAGGCGAGGCACACCTAGGGAAGGGAAGGGAAGGGAAGGTGAGGTACACTTCTCCACACACAACGGCCAGCGGTGGGGCAAGGGGGGCGTCCCTCGCAACTCCTCACCCAGACACGGGCAGGAGCCCCACGTTGTGTGTGTGCGTGCGTGTGTGTGTGTGTGTGTGTGTGTGTGTGTGTGTGTGTGTGTGTGTGTGTGTGTGTGTGTGTGTGTGTGTGTGTGTGTGTGTGTGTGTGTGTGTGTGTGTGTGTGTGTGTGTGTGTGTGTGTGTGTGTGTGTGTGTGTGTGGAGAGAGAGAGAGAGAGAGGG